TTAGGAATAATACAACTCTTTTTTTATATTTTTTATTTGATGTAATTGTTTTTTAATGAGAAGAATTTCAGAAAAAAAATTTGAATTTTAAAATTCTAAATCAATCTTGTTCATTACACTTCAATAACAATTAAGAATATTTGAAAAGCGGATGACAACAAATTTTTGTAGCTATTTCTGATTTGGGATTTTAAAATTTTGGAGGTATTTTTTTGACATTTTTCCAACGGAATGCCCTTATAAAAGAATTGAATATTTTTATCATACATGCAGTGATATACTAAAAACAGGCTCAATCAGTGGCTTTTTGATGAAAAAAAAAGGGCATATTATGAGTTTCAAACTAGCATAAGCTTGTGGCTACCAAAAATATTGAAAAATTATTACAGAGTTCTATCACAAGAGGGGATTTTTTTGGGGGGCAAAATTAGAGTATGAGTGGACACACGCACAGGCACGAAATGATTTTTCATCATTGAGTTTACTAATATATAGCTTCATACATTGAAGCTGTCCAAGCAAAATAAAGAAGTGTATAAAATATGAATGCCATACAACGTATATATGCTTTAAAATCTTAAAATCATCGCAAGGCTAAAACAAGAAAAGAAAAAAGAGGGGAAAAAAATCTTCTTTTCTTTTTATCCCAGAGATTTCATACCAATAAGACATGCCAAGCAATTAGTAAGTCAATTATTTCAATAGATTGTGATTAAGTGAACGTAAAATAAGGTTAATTTAATTAGAGCGATCAACGGGGGAGAAGTGTACGCTTGATCACTGAGTCCACCAAGTTTTGCCTTGCCTATATATGTAAAGCAGTCTTGCCCGCTTCGCTCTCACAATTCAGGGTCCTTGGAAAAGCCGATCAGACAAACACTACAATGTCTAAACTCTTCACCATCTTCACCATCTTTTTCTGCTTAGCTTAGGCCTCATCCACGCCTCTCGTCCCAACGTTGGATTCCCCGGCCACTCTTCTCTGCATGAGGTAACTTCCCTTCTGATATTCCCCCCGCAAATCAACCCACGAAATGATTTCTCTTTTTCGTTTTGAATTAGTTCTCTCTTCACCAGAGTTGTTAACACACACATATAATCAGAGAGTTTTTGATGTTTGATGTTTTTGCTTTCTCTGTACTTACTGGGTTTGCGGGATTTGAACTGAAGGATGCTATGGAAATGAAGACAGAGCTGGAAGGTGAAAACTGCGACGAAACAGTGGAAGGTAAAGAAGGATGTTTGATGAGAAGGACGCTAGCGGCGCATGTCGATTATATCTACACCCAGAAGCACAAGCCCAAAAATTAAACGTCATCACTTGTCGTCAGTTCTATCTTGTCTTATGAATCCTCCAGTCTATTGCAAAGATACAACAATAAATCAAACATAAGTATATATAGAGCCTCTCTTATTGTTAGTGTGTGTGTGTGTGTGTCTATATGTTCTTCGTTTATGTGAGCTGAATAAGCGTCTGGTTGTTTGAGCTGTCATAATACTGTTAAACTTGTACGTACTCCATCAACCTCTGGTTTCCTGTACGCTCTGATCAGATTAATCATAGTTTTGGTGAAATTATGGTTTTCTTCCGATGGTTAATTAAAACGAAGGGTCATCCAATGGTCTATTGAAACAATAAAGCACAGCTTCAACGATTTCCACGGACAACTAAAAAAAATGGGAATTTATCATCAACAACAAACAGCAGCTGCAATAATAATGGAGGAAAGAGTAAAGTGTGAGGGTAGGGTAGGGATGAGCACGAGGTCATATTTGCAATATTCTCGAGTTCTTGTACGTGGGGTAGATCAGTGGACCCAATGATTTTGGGTATATACTGTGTTATTAAAAGACAAAAGAAAATGTGCAAACACAATACAACTCATCGTCCTTCTCTCTTTCCTTTATAATACACAATACACCAGACCAGGTCCAAACTAAGACATGACGGATAGATTACGTTATCTACCTACTAACTATTAAGAATTATGTCAAATAGTCCTGGAGCCTGTTAGTGTATAAGCTCCACTGCGTCAATCCTACTTGGTAATCACATGGCCAATGTGATTTCATCAAACAGATAATATAATTTCATCCAAATATTTTCCGACATCCCTCTGTGTTTCTCCACCTACAAGTTTGCCAACTGGATGATACTAATCTTAATAGTAACTCCTGCTTGTGGACTAGGCTAATCTGCTTTTTATTTCTCGATCCTTGCGCCTTTAAATTCAATGTCAGCAGCCATTGTCACCCTCAAATGATAGTGCTCATAATTTTTTTCCTCCCCTGTAACACAAAAAGACACTGGACATTGCAAATCTGAATCTTCACTTTTTGAAAAAAAAAAGGGGAGAATCAAATCCACAGAGGATTACGAAATTAAAAATGTCATTAACTTAGCGAGAAGACTCTACTTGTCGAGAGGAGACCTAAGGATAGAGAAATGGCACTAAATACCATGGCTTTAGAGCTAGAGTCAAACTAGTCACAGAGAGAGGGGCCATTAACTCCCGTAATTTAATAATATAATGGCAATATTTTCACTATTGACTCCCAACATGTAACATCACATCATGCGTAAAATTCAAGCTCACATGTAAACATCGTCCTCACACTGTAGCGCAAATTTGTCCAACGCCTAACTCTGTGGCTCAAAGCAAAGGCAGAGCATCGTCAAACACGGCTTTGCCTTTTTGGTCATCATGTCGAAGGCTGTAATTGAAGGGCTTCTAAAGCGTGGACCAGACAGGAACAATAATCAAAGTCGCCCTAAGCTATGATGAATCTGATGAACGCTATTACTCAAGAAGGATAATCATGATTCACAAAGTGGAATGTGGATTTCATATATGACTATCATTGACTAGTCGGTTCTGCCTAACTTGTGGAAACGAACCGTAATCATGACGCCAGAGTTCACAGATACTATAGTAATAAATTAATCACCTTGTTCATATTTATAAAATTCCTCCATGTGAACTGAACCAAGCCGATTCTTAACAAAACTGAATAGTAGCTTATATAAAGCACTCTGAGATACCAGAACCAAAAAAACAGCGATTTCAACCAGCGGCACTGCACTAATTATGCAAGGTCTGGTTTGTCAGTAAGCGTACCAACAATATAACATGAGTTTTCAGCTACAGGATTACTTAAGATACCATAACATCCATCTCATTTCCATAGAAGTCACGGGAGAGCAAAAGATGCACTAAACAGGAATAACGGTGATAACTAACATATATTGACAATGATTTAAAAGCATTTCAAGCATGATGGCCCGGTAAGAGTCCTGCTCATGAATGCATTGTGGAAGATAACCATGCAATTAGTTCTTCATAAGGTTATTGGAATGGAAGTTCTGTCTATTTGCATAAAACCAGAAACAGCCAACGGAAAGAATGGATTCATTCTCAACCTAAGACAAAGGCGAGCCACATAATCAGTTGTTCCCTGAGCTGTGTGATTGGAGGGGGGGGGGGGGGACAAAAAATGAAAGAAACTGTGATATTAAAACTGAGTTGAAGGGAAGAGGAAATATTACAAGGCAAGGTAAAATTGGTTGACTTGAGTTCATCAACTGTTGTATGGCAATACAATCGTTTTATAGTACAGAGCTATATAACGGCTTGTCTGTAAACTTACAATTATAGAGCTGCTTGCTTAGTTTTCTTCCGTCTTTCCTGAGCATGTTATAGAGATTGGCCCAAATTTTTGTACAATGAATTCAACAAATGATCGCTGCATACATGCATCAGGTTAAACATTAAGAGCACCAAACACTAGTCAAGTCAGTTCAGATTTTCAGTATAGTAAAGAAGATGGCTAAACATTATAGCCAACGTTTTGACACCATATAAACTGCATTTAAAATACTTGGAAAGGATAAAGGCCTTTTTTTTTTGTCCCTAGATTCTAAAAGCACTAAATTTTATGGGTTTGAAATAATCATCAAACCAGGCAATAGTTACACTAAAGGAGGTATGAGCAATTAAATTCAAGTAAAATGAACGCCTCCGATCAACATCTGTAGAAGTTTCATCAAGTCCTCGGATCAACATCTAATGTTAACAAAAAGAATTTTTGATACTACCTTTGATCTTTAATATAAGATCTAATTTATAGTTGAAACTAAATCTTATACTCCTTCAGTTCTAATTTACTTACAAAATGGGCATTATATTTCAGACCGGAGGGAGTATTAAGGATGGGAGGTAGTACTAAGGAAATTTAGCAATCAAATATGGAATTCATAATGCAAATGTTGCAATTGTATATGAGTAGAAATCACATGAATGCTGCTAAATCTCATTGGAATCAAAGAGCTACATGGTATGAGACGTTTTTTCCGAGGGTTTTAAATCGGTTGTTACAGTGTTAGAAATGCGCTGTGACGCCTAAGAATGGGTTGAGATCCTAAATCTGGAGATATAAATGACTGAAGAAAAAATGGAGAACAGAAGCGAAGCAAGAATCACACTCTCCTAATCTCAATAGCCAACAAAGGAGAATCTCCAGTTGAATTAAAATAATTCTTCTATTTCTCAATCTCTGCTTAGCATAGAGAGTGGCTGGGTTATTCATAAAGAGGAATTACAACGGTAACAAATTCTGAAATTCTGAAAATCCTATAATATCTCCTAGAAACAGAATTAATCCCTAAAATATCTCTTAGAAACAGAGTGAAAAGTTGGTGACCCCTAACAGTCATAGGGTTCCACTTATTTAGCTAACTCACTCTAAAATAATTAAAATAAACAATTCAAAACATATTCAAACTAATTCAAGTTTCAGCCTAAGGATTTGATCCAGCTGTTTTCCTTTTCTTCCCGCAAGTGGTGCCCACTAGGATTAGGATTCTTATCAGAATGCATTAGAGCCGGGGCATTGCTCATGTAAGAAATGAGCTGCAGTGACTGATCTGAAATTTGAAATATGAACACGGGCTCTCCTCAGACCTCAGTTTTGTCGGTTTATTTAAGATGACTAGTTCAAAATCCTCCAAATCATATTCCTTTGATAAGACAAAATGCCATGCCACGCCAGTCAGATTCAACCCATCAAAAAGCTAGCCTCTATTGTAGCAGAAAATTAAAATAATCGAATAAGGACAACAACAAAGACGTGCAAGGTTCCCAGAACATACGATTTACGGCAAGAAAAAGAGGAAAAAAAACAAAAAAAGATGTTTATTCAAAAGAAGCTTTCTGCTCTGTTATAGTATATAGAGCTAATTGACTACTCCGTTTCATCGCCTATAAGCATCCACAAGAGTTTGCTCATGCGCCACAAAAGTCGTTCCATTAGAATTAAGCTTACTAATCACGCCTATTACCACATCAAGAGCAACTTCATCTTTCAGTATCCCCGTGTGAGACACGCCTCCAATTTTATCACTTCCAGGCTTTGATTTTTCTCATCTTCCCAGAGTGACTGAAGCCCCAGCATGCTCACCATGTTCACTGTACCGTCTCCATCCCCATAAAACACTTCAGGCTGTTCATCAAAATCACTATTCCTGTAAAACAAACTTTCTGGGGTTCTCACACCCGTTCCCATGATACAAGTCACAGGTACTTCTGGTGCTTCTGTGTTCTCTATCAATGGCAAAATTCGATTTTCATAGGGGTAAACCCCTTCGGGGAAACCGATGTCTCTGAGAAAATCAGCAATATCTAATGCTGTATAATTCCTATCTTTCGTGATCACTAATGGTTTGGTGCCACCAAACAATCTGGGATTAGGCAAAAGCCACAGATTACTCTCAGAGCTTCTCTGTTCTGCTCTTACCATCAATGGGTCCACCAGGGGTATTCCTAGAGTATTCCCCGAAGCAAAGGTAAGCATTTCGTCCACAGCACCACCCCAAGGAGCAGAAAGAGCCACAAAGTGTTTGATGAACTTTTGGCGCCAAGAAAGTGGGTTTCGGTTCAGAAGTTGAATGGCAAAGAGTCCTCCTAAGCTGTGTGACACGAGTATCACTTGTTTTCCGCCATTGGAAGCACTTGCTTTTTCAATCAAACACTTGAGATCGTCCAAGAACTTGGAACCCACATGAGACAAATGACCTTTCGCGGCAAGGCCATATCGGAAATCATAGGGTGCTCCAAACAGAGTTTCACCCTCCACATAGCCAACCTCTTCAAGGGAGTCCACCAACGGCGCCATATACGCTGAAACATGCCTACACATCAATTACAGTCACAATACGCCTCACAAGTTAATGATGATAGTCAAGCACAAAACATTGACTCACTTGAGATGAGGGTCGAGATAAAGAAGTGAGCTGGTTGAACCAAATTGAGGGACCCGAGTCTGAACCCCAGGGGCATTAAAGTAATCATCAAGATGTGGTTCGAAGTGAAGCGTCATGCGATAAGCAAAGCAGCGAGTGAAGGGCGGAAGTAGAACGCTGGGGTCGAACCACATTCTGAACCAGCCATCGCGGTCCTTGACAAGTGGGTACCAGCGGTCACAGAGGAGGCTCGTGGGTTTGTAGGCGCCGGTGAGCCTGGCTTCTAGCTGGTTACCTCCGGCACCAGGGACTAATATTATAGGATGAAGGGTATTGCCCGCCCCGCATATAATTTGCAGCATCACAAACAATGAGGTTGAAGCTATTATCTTCAAAGGCAATCCCTTCATGACAGATTTCCTGTATTGCTTCCGTCTTCTTCTGGTGGTGTCCGAACTGGAGGATCAAAACTGAAAACTCTCATGCTGATGCGGGGGCTTTGTCAGTTAATGAGTGGTGCAGAATGGTCTGATATTTCTATCTGTGTCTGCGTAGTATGAAATTAATCGCTGCCTGTGCCAGCATTTCCAAATAACTGGGCAGATAGGCTGCCACGTTGACTGCCTCTCCGGCGGAAATAATTTAATACGGGTTTTAAAAATGGAAGAAAAGTATAAAAATAATAGACTTCATTGGACTGAAACTTAAAAATGGACAATGGGCTTACCTTATTGGACTTGTTCGACATCCATCCTGTGTGGCCGGTGGCCGGTGGGCTTGATTCCGGGAGAGTTCATTAATTTAATTTGGGAAAAATTTTGCAAAAGAATTCTAATTCTTGCGGCAAGAAATAACTCTAAGCTCCCTATATCCTTCGCTATGAATAATTTGTGATGTTTGATGATCATCATTCCTATATTTTTATTGTTCACGAATAGTGTCGCTTGTTGATAAAACAAATTTCATAAATTTTAAGTGTATAGTAATATAGGACATGACGTATGATTGCGGAGGCAGGGCGGTTCACCCGGCGAGACCTTGCGGTACGATACTGCGATGGCCCTGTCTAGTTATCTATTTTGGGTGGCTGGAATTTCAAGTTGAAGCTGGTTGCATAAAAAGATTATAAAAAGATTTAAATTATGGGAGAAATATAATTCAGAACCTTATAGTTGAAACAATTTATTTTGATGTCAGTCAAAATGATTTGAGATCGTGTAGCCAAAAAAAGAAAAAAAGAAAACCATTTAATATAATTATTAGGAGATCTTAGACGTAAATTCCCCCATTAATTGAGCATGCAGGAGCAGGAAGGACTATTGATGAAGAAAACGATTGCTTACTATTCAGTGAATTGACCAAACGGCTCTACGTGCTGCGCAGCACAATCTATCAAATTGAAAGCTTTTAGCGAAACGGATTTTCTCTTCCGATGCTCATTTAATGAAGTGTGTTTTTCTTCGGCCAAAATCAAAATAAGTTTATATTCTCTCCAGACGCTTCTGCCCACTGATAGGAGCTTTAATGCTACTAGTTCATGTATTTTTAATGCTAATCCCATTTCAAATGTAATATCCACTATATAAAACAATACGAGTACTTTGTAATGCAAATTGCTCATTAATTATTGTAATAAAAAAATGAATTTATTATTTGTTAAAAAAAGACTTATTTCTCTAAAATAAACTTACATAACACTAGACTATATATTAATTTATAAATT